ATTCCGGTTGAGGATAAATGGACACACACGAGACCTCAGGAATGGTAACTCCCACAAAGCTGCGAGGGAACAGTTTAACCAACCCGGACACTCAGGAATGGATTTGAAAGCAGCCATCCTTCTCATAGACTCATAGACTTTAAGGTCAGAAGGGACCATTATGATCATCTAGTCTGACCCCCTGCACAGTGCAGGCCACAGAATCTCACCCACCCCTCCTAGAATAATCCTCTCACCTATAGCTCAGATATTGAAGCCTTCAAATAGTTTGAAGACCCCAAGATGCAGAGAATCCTCCAGCTGTGATCTGTGCCCCATGCTACAGAGGAAGGCGAAAAACCTCCAGGGCCTCTGCCAATCTACCTTGGAGGAAAATTCCTTCCCGACCCCAAATATGGCGATCAGCTAAACCCTGAGCATGTGGGCAAGCTTCTACCCAAGAACGTCAAAACCCAGTTAGAGGGAGGCAGCTGAACTGGAATTCATTTGCAAATTCAACGCTATCAATTAAGACTGCATACGGATCTTTCCCAGACTCTTCCAATCACAGCCGCATTCTACAGGCTCTGACTCCCCAATCCTCCATTTCCTGGTGATTTCATCTGTATCCTGGGGAAAGCAAAATCACATCTCAAGCCCTTTGACCCTAGGGGGCTGAGTAGAGGGGAAGAGTCTACACTGACTGTGGGAGGCCCTGCAGAACAGAATTCTTGGTGACTGACCCTGGATTTTTCAACTAACAGATGCCCCAGACAGAGCGAGCAGAACAAGGAATCAACATAGAATGCACCAACTTTAGGACACTTTGCAAGTCTCACCTGGTTTCTCCTGGAGAATTGGTGGACATCTCTCAGATGCATCCAGGAACACAGATCACCAGGGTAGGGCCTCCTGCTGTCCTCTGTGTTCCTTGGTTAGACATTCAGAGACCATGAACCAAGCACAGTCCAGGAGCCGATACATGCACGGACAAACAGAGCACGTGAAACTTCACACCTCACAGCCGAAGGCTAGGCATGCCCCACAGGAATATTTTGACTGTTCCGGAGGACAGCTTAATGCGATCCTGCCATGTATCAGAGAAAATGCCATAAAACAAATTGTAACTGGATACAAGTGATTTTTCCTGGCCGTTGGCAGTCGGATATGTTAGGGCTCAGATTCTATACAACATAAATTTTCAAAGGCAGCTGCATAAGCAGTTTGCACTCTAAGTACATGTAATGGGGTGGATGAAAATCAGTGATAAAAAAAAGGATGTTTTCTAATTTAAACTGGATTTTTTGGGGGATAAAATGCCTTTTGAGGCAAAACCTTTGTAAAGACCGGTTTAATTAAAGATACATCCCAGCTCAAAGATATCTCATCAAGCAATAGGCATTAGACATTCTAATTCATATAATGTTTAAGAAAAGTTTTGTCAATGAGTTCCAATAGCTCACGCATTAGAAACCCAGGAGGTTCCAGGGGCTTCCGTATAGAGAAATTAACCAAAATCATCTATCTCCCGAATGGGATTCAGTGCTCAGTCTAGAAGACGCCATCACAGAGGCATCATTTTGCAGTTCGTGTTCATAGAGCTAACTTGCTTGCTAACAGTCTAAACGTTTTAAAGTGAATAAATAAATAATATACAGCGGTGAGAAATAAGAGACCTCAACCCTATTGTCCCTCTGCAAATATGTGTCCACAGAGTCAATGCCTTATCTCTCTCTAAAAGTGCAGTTTTCAAGAAGTTCAAAAACTAGAAGCCAACATTGTAAGTTTCTCATGGCGACCTGGCTGAACTAGTCCATTTAATTTTTGTTTTAAAAATATTTCATTTAACTGTTGTAGTTAATAACAATTTTAACAAAACAAGCTTGATTTTAAAAAAGCTTGAATGTTTCACTAAATTAAAAAATTCATACACTTGTTTTGTGAAGATATTACATTTGCTGTTAAAGAAAACATCCAGACTAGATTCTTTTGCTGTTTTAGTTAAATAAAACCATTTAAATGTCTGTACAGGGAGGTTTTCCTCCTAATACAGCATGGCAAGAAAGTCCTCCTAATATTAATGATTAACCTGTTGAACTGGAGATAAACTATCTCCCAATGGCTTCATAAATATCTGTTGCAATTACCTTTGGTAAATGAAATAACCCAACAAGCATTCATTTTCTGATAATAGCTGTAAAACTAATCTGAAAAGTTTACAAAATAAATCAGTTTAAAACTGTAGTGTGTACCTTCTAAAAATGAAACCTCCGTCTATCTCTGACCTGTGAAGAACATGTCTTAAGGTTATGACAACCAACAAGAATGCACTTTTATGTAGAAAACCATGATTAAATTGTGTCTTTCTGATATGTAACAAACAAGCACATAGGAAGGTGGCATTTCTATGATTAATGGGTAGCCTTAAAATAATGGAAAATTCAGCAGTTTTATTACCAGGACCGTACCAAATTCATGGTCAAATTTGGTCAATTTCACGGTTATAAAATTTAAAAAATTGTACACTTTATAGATTCAGATACTTACATGTGAGATTTCATGGTTCTGTAGCTGTGTGGGTTCCGACTCAAAAAGGAGTTATGGGGGATGGTCGCTAGGCTGTAGCGGGGGTGTGTGTGTAGTATTGCCACCTTTACTTTTGCACTGCTGCTGGCAACATCGCTGCCCTCAGAGCTGGACGGAAAGCAGCAGCTGCTAAGTGGACACCCAGCTCTGAAGGTAGAACGGCCATCAGCCACAGCACAAAAATGAGGTTGGCATATTACGGGGAGCCCTCTCTTTGGGAGGGGGAAGAGCTGGCCTTAGGGTCCAGGTCATGGCATGACCATCCAGGTAGGCCAAGGGCTCCTACCATATGCAGAGCTCCACTCCTGGCCAGTCTAGTGAGAGAGAGGACTTGCTCTTCCTCAACCCGCTCCCAGGGCTGGGTCAGATCCACCTCTAGAAACCTCTCCCCAGCTGCAGGAAGCTCGGTGGCTGCTGGCTGGGAGTCTAGCTTCAAAGAAAGCTGCCACCTTTCCTTCTGCGCTGCTGCTGGCTGAGGTAATGCCTTCGGAGCTGGGTGCCCAACCAGCAGCTGCCACTCTCCAGCCAAGTAGAAGTACACAAAAGACCAGATTTCAGGGTCTGTCATGTGTTTTTCACCACATGAATTTGGGAGGGCCCTATTTATTACCCTACAGGGCTGCAATTACCCACTGCAGGACATATCACTCACTGCATCTCTCCCTCCTATGCAGACTATGTCTCATTCAAAGAGAGCACAATGAAAGCGAAGGAGGACAAATTCAGGTCAGGGCTCTCTTCAGCACTCCGACTCAAATTATGGCCACTAGGACACTCGGTAATTGCAGCAGGCCGCTGCAGCAGACCAGAACTCGATGACCATTTCCTTTAGATTTAAAAATTCAGGATTTTCCTGAACTCTGACTATGAATTGTACAACCAGGACAATAGGCCCTGTATTACTTGGACAATATTTAGTTTATGTACATTGCCAACACACTGAATTTCCCATGTGCCAGAGACAGCCGGACAGTAGAACTGGTCAAGCAGAAAGCTTTGGTAGTGGACATGTGAGGCAGTTTGGGACAAGTTATAAATATCCAACTCATTGCAAGGGGTTTTTTTTTTTGGAGGGGGCTTGTTCTGAAAACATCTGGTACTGGCTAGTATCAGAGTAGGAGTCAATTAATCATTGCTCTTATCCGATAATGGAATTCCCATGTTCCTGCTAAAACAATCTTTTCAGAAAATGTTGACATTAAATATGGCATCTTTCGGTTTCAGAGTTAACAACTTATCAAGACAAGAAGGGGAAGTTTACACCTCTCGGAGGTATTGTTCCAGATTGTCTGCCAACTCAGGAGGACACACAACCGTATGAGTTGGCAGTCACGTTTCCAACTGTCAGGTGTCCTTTGCAACCATAAACGCTAGAAGCAAATTAGTTTTTTTAAAAGCTTTGAGGCTGGAGCACCTGAAGAGGTGTAAATTGCAACAGACCTTGTGGCCATTTTATCAGAGAATAGAGGGAACCCTGTTAGCAACTTTTCTTGCTTGTCACTCCACGACAGATTGTTCTTCACGATGTGGAGTGATAAACGGACTGTTCTCCAATTAGCCAGGGATTGTGTCTTATTTTTTCCCCATGTTACTTTAATAAATGTAAAGACAGAAGCTGCCTTACACAGCCCGGAGAATCCAAGAGGATTCTGAATGAACATTTGATTAAAAAAGATGCCATCACACAGTCTCATTTTGCAAACAGAGTCACACATCTTAAGGCCGAAAGGGACTATTAGGGCCAACTAATCTAACCTCTTGCAGAACACGTCATAGAACCTCACCCAGTATCTAGCCCATAATTCCTGTTTGAGCTAGACCAGACCCTTCTAGAGAAATCTACTACAGTGTTTCTTAAGCTTTTTAAGACGGAGGAACACCAAACATTTTTTTTTTAATGAGGACACCAACAATTTTTTGTTGAGCCAAAAAAAAAAAAAAAAAAAAGGTCACCTTTAAGGGCGGCCATTTTGAACTCTGTTTTTCTCTGTCACACCTCCAACAGCTTCGCGGCACACCGGTGTGCCACGGAACACAATTTAAGAAACACTGTTCTATAATCTTGACTCACAAGCATCAGGTGACTGAGAACCTACCACACACCTAGGTAAGTTGTTCACCTAGAACCTGAAGTTGAATATTGTGGAGGTGAGTGGATTTGTTTTTGAAAACTCAAATGACATAGAAATAATTGGGCCAAATGGAAACCAAAATGTCTCTCGTTGGCTCTCTCTCAAATGTGCTCATTAAGATACCCGATGAATTTATACCTTGGGCAGGAAACCGATTCTGCACGCAACACAAAATCAAAGTGGAAACACCACTTTCTATAGGGCTATGTTCATGTTTACTCTGCTTTCTGTGGCTCCAGATGACAATTCATCCTTTTATATAGTGGAGGTTTGTTATGAACAAAAAATCAGTCACCAGACAAGTTTAAAACTCATGTCAGTTCTTTGCATTGTTGCTGTTACAAAACTAATGAATAATAATTAGTAAGCAATTAGTTGTAAAATGATAAATATAACTTCAGAAACTTTTTTTCTTTGTTAGGTACATAGTGGGCAGCCTGTTCAAAAGCAGGAGAATTTACAAGTAACTTTCTTACATATGAACATTTATATGCCAAAAACTGAGATCTTGGAAAAGTCAGCTGTTCTGAATACAAGGGCTATTGTTCCATTTCATTCTCTGAAAGAATTTAATTTTTTTTTCTTAGCTAAATTTTCTGATCTGCCAGCTGGGTATAAGCCAGAAGGGTTATCCAGTCAGACCTTACTGTGAGATTTACAATGAGAGCGCATCTAAGGTTTGTTTATTTCAGAATTAAAATGTAATTGTATAGAGCCATTTAAATAATTAAAGGGCAACAGGAAAAAAAAATGCCATGAAACCAAACAAATCAGTAAAAGTCATGGAAACCATCAGTGATATTTAATTCAGAAATTCTCTTTGTTCGGGGACTCAGCTGAAAGAAAACAGCTGGCCTTCGTTCAATGCTCTAAATTAAAAACAATCTAACAAGGTCTATGGGGATAACTCTTTTAGCTACATATTGGAGAGCAGATTCATTTCTACCGAGTAAATGTAATAGCACTCAAAGCTAAAAAGGAAATTCCTCAGAACTGAGGTAGTTTCTAAGTATCAGCACATTTTACAATCCCTCACAAGCCAACTTAGCTATTTACAATCCATTTTTTCCCACACATAAATTCATAACCTTTTCAATTTTATGCTTCCATGATTTATTTTCTAAAGAAAAAATATAGCCAGAATATGCATATTCTACTACCATCATGTTTTAATAAATAACTGGCTACTTCTAGTAAAATTACGTCTCCAGGATTGGTCATATCAGCCAAGAATATTCCATCATTATAGTACTGCAGAAATTTGGTGTGAAAAGGAAAGTTGAATACAATGCTGACCCTGAGCTAACAAGTAGTTAATGGTTCAATATAAAAATAGAAAATTATCCTTACAATGCAAGGTTGGCATATAACAAAACCCTCTCTGTAGATTATTCTCATGGCTGGAAGTATCCCGCCAGATTCTAATGGCTGTCCAAAAGCAGGAAGAGATGTGCAGAATCATTTTTAGTCCTTCTGCAGACTTTTGGTAACTCTTTTAAAGTGATTTCATTCTTTTCGAAAATATATATTCCTCTGATGAATTGTCACTTGCCACAAAACCGTTCTAGTTGGGAACGGAGACTCCTCGAGCAGCCCTCACTATGGTCATGTGGTGCCTTGGCCAGCAGGTTTGGGTGGTCTCTACTAATCCTCTGAAGTGACTGCATGTGACGCTCCTATGAGATGGGATCTGTCAGACCCGCCCATCCTAGCCCATTGCTAAACTCAGGTCTGTCGGACGACAGTGCAGTGTGCTACTTAGCCAGTCTTAACCCTTGGCCTTCTGACCAGAGGGGAAACAACACTCCTCTCAAAGCATAAAAAAGATCCCTCAACGTCATCCACATTCAACTAACGAACTGGCAGACAGAATATACGTTGGCATCGGTATGAGCAACAACATGAATTGCAGCCCACTGAATGCGACCTACCGAGGAGAGAGGGCGCTGCTCATGTAGAACTGGAGTATTGGGTTTACACCTAGTCACCAGGGGGAACACCCGACAGCTCTTCTCAGCTTATGGGAACCTGGAATTCTTGGTCGTCTCTTCCAATTTAACCAAACATCCTGTAAAGGCAGTATAACCTGTGCCTGGTGGTAATGCTTTATGCAAATGGGGCATACGGCTTCTAAACCAATTACGCCTTCACGTCCTGTTCTACTGAATCAAGACAAATTACCTCCGCTTCTCTCCAGATAAGGCAACTAACATAACGTGAAGAAATGGGAAGATAATTACATGAAACATACCTTTTGCTTGTTGGCTTATTATTTTCCCCCTAATGTGATAAATAAAACTTGCTTCTGTACAGATATTTCATATTTCAGAAACACGTACTTGTTACATACCAAGCTAGGACCCTGTTTTTCTTGTCAGAAAGGTGGTAAAATAACATTTTTTCTTTAAAAAGGCAAGTGATAAAAACACAAATGCATCGCTAACTACGGGTCTGTATATACACTTTGTTAGCCACTTTTACCATGGATTCTTGGTGAACATCAGACTAACCGTCCGCGTCAGCGTTATTTCCAGAACAGCAAGTGGAAAAAAAAAATCAACACTTTTAAATCAGTGGCCACGTAGTAAAAACTGTACACGGTTGTCCATTCACTTAAAAAGCCAAGTCACTCGATGGTATAAAAGTGAAAACAGGTGCCTTTTCACTCTGGTAATCAAGTCTCTATCGCCCTACGTCACACAATTATCTCCATTGTCTTTGCATGGCCAAGAGTACGATGCTAAAGAACAAGGCTGCTTGTGATAGGCCGATGTGGGCAGCCGCAGAAGTGTTCGTGTTTTTGTCCATCTTGTTCGTTTTCCCAGTAACTTCGGTTACATTGAACTCAAACTCGGGAGAGCACTGCTGATATTCGCAACCACTTCCACTTCCTTCCCCGCTGCTCTCGTCACCTGTAAGAAACAAATACATTTTGCTTATATTCCTGTCAGAGGCCCTGAATTGCAACACCCAACACAAAATATCTGAAAACACGACTCTGGGGACTCCTTCCCACGTGTTTACTTCTGAGGCCTTTGCTTAAAAGTAAAATGCTGCACTCTTATGGAACTTAAGTATGGGATTCAAGGAGCTGAAACTTAAGCACAAACTTAAGTTTTGGGTTGTGATCAAGTGCTGTCCTAGATTGGGTTGCATCCTAAGTATAAAGAAGATTCAGCTTGAAATAGTATTCCAGGGGCTTCATCTCCTGCTCCCATACACTTGGTGAATCTGAGCTTTAAATCAACTTCCTCTTTATACACAATCCGTTTAAAACACACACTTACTTATGTCAAGGAAGTCAACATCATTGCCATTGTAAGCATTCTTCATTTTATTGGTCATCACGCGAAGGGCCATGATTTGCTGACGAATCACCATATCTGGTTTTGTAATGTCAACTTCTACTTCTGGATTGTTCACCTGATTGGCTAGCCCATTGCCGGTCACTGCAAAGACGTACCTGAAAAGGAAAACGTTCCATTATAAAAGATGCGTGTTGCACCATAAAGTGTTTTAAGATGCTCTGAGGGTTCTCTTGCACCCTTTGAATAGAGGTTTGCTTTCACACAATTTTGGAGAAACGGGATTTTCCTTCCGGCACAGAAAGAGAAAAATACCAGGCCCTTCTGAAGTAAAATGGCTTGTCAGGAGAGAAAAGGATTTTCTATCATTTCGGGCAATGAAGAGATTTTCCATGATCCTTCATCTTTCTGGCTATGGATATGACTACGCTGTGGTGCTATTTCAGGATACTTCTGGAATCCCAAAATAGCTATTCCGCATCTTGACAGTACACCCGTTATTTTGAAATATCTTTCAAAATAAAGGGTGCACTATTCCGACGTCCCTATAAACCTCATTCCATGAGGATTAAGGGACGTTTTGGAACAGCGATTTATTTCGAAATCTGGCTCCGTGTGGACGGACAGCGCCAAATTACTAAATAAGATATTCGAAATGAACTAAAAACAAGCTACACAATTGCGTAGCTTATTTCAAGCTAATGGTGCAGCGTAGAGTTGTAGACGCACCCTCTATGACACTGTGGCCAAGTGTAGATTGATTTCAATGTCATTCTGGATCAAAGGCAACAGCCTTACTCTGTATTTGCACCAGCATAACTGAGAGCAGAATTTGCCTGCATGAGCGTTAGTTCTTAGCATGTGAAAGCTAAAATTTTGGTGATTTATAGGGGATATTGGCAGAGTTGTAGTGACTAAGGGACTGAACTTTCAATTTGTCCAACTCTAGCGGAAAGAGGACATGTGTCATCAGATCTGTAAGATCAGATGTCAGGAAATGATATTATATATTTGTTCGAAAGGCAGAGATTGGAGAAGAATTTACACTAGTCTTGCCCAGGCATTGAGTGGCCAAAATTATTCTGTCAAGTGGTCAGAGGGCGCATGTTGATTGAAAGCACTGTGATGTACAGCTGAGTTGCAGTCTAGATTTTTTTCCCCCTGAAACACGCAAACTTAGCATACCCAAAGTAGTATTTATGATCGGCATGATATTGTCACCTAAAAAGAAGGACAATTTTACAGCTTAGTTAGGAGGCTAGTGCCAATTCTGTGACAGACTAGTTACCTGACATCAAAGCAAACCTGAAGAATTTGAGGAAAGTAACTTTTTTAAATCTCAAAGATTATTTATTCTGCAAAAACGCGTGTTTGTAAGTATCAGACGTTCGACCCTGATTCGGAAAAGCGTCCCTATTCAAGAACATGCCCTGTGTGCTTAACTTTAGCCACTTCACTCCCATTGTAAATATTCCATTGACTACTGACTGTGAACATGGGGTGCTCATCAGTGCGACGCAAGCGTATGCCAAAAATGAAGAGCTGTGCTTAAGTGCGGCTCTAAACTGGAGTGGATTTTAAATGATGCTTAAATACGACCCTGAATTGGGGCCTTAATTTTCAGCATTTTGCCTCAGTGTTGTGGTTAGAAGATCTGAAGAACATTTGGAGGGAATCTGCTGTGTGGGAAATTATTGATTGTTCATCTTTTTGGAGCAGTTCTGTACAGGAGGACATCGGATTTGACACAGCCACGTACTGTTTTCATTTCATGGGGTTCAGAATAGGGATGTTAAATTGCGAGTAATCGACTAATTGAATAGTTAATGCATTTTGCATCGACTATTCGATTAGTCAGGGTCTGATCCCAGAATCCATGTGGCACTGTCACTTTGAAGTACCCCCTCCTTTCCCTTCTTTCCCTCGCTGCCTCTTTCTGATAGAGGCAGCAAGGGGGTGAGGGTGGGGGGAGGAGACACTAGTCAACTAGCCTGTCGACTATCCGAGAAGCATTTGCTTATCGGATAGTCGACTAATCCTTCCCATCCCCTAGTTCAGAATGGGTCCATTTTGCACAAAACTTTCCACAACTTTTTTCAGTCCCCCCCCAAAAAAAAACTTTCTTCTTTTCTTGGGGTATGAGAAAAACAAACAACTTTGATACCAGGTTTCAAAATAAGTCAATTAAAAACACTGCCCAGTCTTGGGGAAAGACAGAACATTTCTACGGCCCTGATAATTGTTCAGAAATGTTCCCTTTTCAAAAAGAAAAGGCTTTTTTAAAAAAATATGTGAAAACTGGTTTTACTGCTGAGCTGAGGAGTGTAATATCAGACCTGAAACATTGGCAAAGCCATCCAAAGTAACTTATTTCTCTTTTTTTCCCCTCTGATTTCTGTTCCTACAATAACCCTCATGGAGGTTCCCTACCCTAGAGGAATCATGTCGCTACAAAAAAACCTGCTGGGAGTTTCTGGCAGGACTGATTCTCCATGAACCCCAGAACAGACCCTACAGTTCCGAAAGTATATGAATAGCAGGAATCTAGAGGTCAGCCAGATGACAGGCAGATGGTCTCTGAGCAGGGCGTTATTCTAAGACTTTAGAGATCTGGCCATCTCTGCCACAGTCTGTGTGAGACCCTGGTCAAGTCACTTAGGTATAAAAGATCTGTAAAGCAACTAGGGTTCTTAACACTTACTGATGTTTGGTTGGACTAAGGCCTTGTTTACGCTAACCCCTCCCCCCACTTCCGTCGATGTAACCTACTCAGCTTCAGCTATGTAAATTGTGTAGCTCAAATTGACATACTTACGAGGGTGTTTTCTGTGTGATAAGGTCGGCAGGGGCTGCTCTCCCGTCGATGCCGGCTGCTCTCTTAGTCCTGGTGGAGTTCCGGAGTCGACGGGAGAGCGCTCGATCGATTTATCGTGTCTAAGCACATGAGATAAATCAGCCAGCAGCGGCTCACACATTGCAGTGTTGATCCACCGCGAAGTAGAGACAAGGCCTAAGTTGGTATGGCCATTTTGAAACTGTTACCCTTCGAGCCCCTGCGCCACCATTACCGTCTATCAAATGGCACCGGCCTACACCTCACAGGAGATTGTGAAGATCAATTCTTTCAAGATTCTGAGGCGTTCTGATACTATGGCGACAGGCACTGTCTAAGAACCTGAGACAGATAAATAGCCAACCCACATCCAGACAGGTTGTGAAGGTCTGAATTACAAGGTCAGACACGACGCAAGTTAACTCAAGTCAAGCTTATCCAGACCTGCTCTTAGCACTTCCATTCCAACACTCATCCTCCACGACACGCCCGGCGGCCATCTTCTC